CTCTTGCTCAGGCCGGTCTCGAACTCCTGACCTCGAGCGATCCTCCCGCCTCGGCCTCCCCGAGTGCTGGGGTGACAGGCGCCAGCCCGGCCTCCATCAGGGTTTTGGACGGAAGGAACAGTGTCCAGGGAGGCAGGGAAATGCTGGGGCTGTCTAGAGGTACCAGATGCCTCCACTGATCCGTTCCCTCTGCCTGAAACATGTGGTTTCTTCTAAGCCCGCCTGAGTCTTCCTCGCCCCTCCGGCTGCAGCTGACGTCCCTTCTGGACATCTCCTGGCAGACCTGGTGGCTCTGCTCTGGATTCTGTCTCCGGCGTCTTGCACCCAAACCTTTGCCCTAGCTCATGTCGCCCTGCATTGCGACTCGGTTTTGCTTGTTTCAGAGACGGGGTCTCGCTCTGTTGCCCAGCTGGAGCGCAGTGGCGCGACCACGGCTCACCGCGGCCTCGAACTCCTGGGCTCAAGGGATCCTCCCGCCTCTGCCTCCCGAGTGCCGGGACTGCAGGTGGAGCCACCGCGCCCGGCTCCGTTCTCCAAGCTTCTTTCTGAACTCCCTGAGGGCCGGGGCTGAGCTGCACCCACTTCTGGGCGTCCAGGCCCCACCGAGGCGGCTGCCGCGCACTGGGGGCCTGCTGGGTGTTTCCAGATGGAGGTGGCGCCCGGGGCTTAGCCTGCCGTGGCAGTGTTTTATCCCACGGCACCCTGTGACAGCCGGGATTCGGGGGACTGACGGGGACAGGCTGCTTGGCGTCTGTGCTGTCCTCCCCGCTGCACGCCCTCCCTGCGCCCCTTCACGGGGCAGCGTGGACTTCTGGCCCAGCGGCTGCAAACTGCAGCGACCGCAACGACAGGGGGCAGCACAGCAGGGAGTGGCGGGGAGTGGGGCGACCCGGGGCGGCCAGGCTCAGCTCCAGCCCCCTCTTTTCCACGCGATTTTCAAGAAACGCCAGAAACCGCACATTTCCCTAAGTCCTCCTGGCTTTAAAGTGTTGCTTACTCAGATTTTTTTCCGAAACATGGTGGGAACCACACGCGACCGTCCGCGAGCTGGCGACAGCCTGCGAGGACGGCGGTGCCGCGATGCTGAAATCTGCCCTCCCGTCTCCCATTGCACGGATGGCAAGACTGAGGCCCGCAGCCGGCGGGACGTTTGTCAGAGGTGGGATCGCGGTCCCGCTTGACCCCCGCCTTCTCCCCCGCGCACCCCGCCCGCGCCGTCGGTGTCTGTGTCTCTGTCCACGCGGGTCGCCGCGCCCGGGTCCGTCCGCTTAGACGACGGAGCTGCCGGGGGCTGGCGCGGTGCCGAGCGCGCGCCTGTCGCCGTCCCCGCCCCGGGTTTCCGGAGCCGCCGCGGCGGGCGGGTCCCCGTGGCGCTGTCGTCATTGTCCCCGGCCCGGCGACCCCGCCCCGACCTCGCCGCGCTTATAAGGGCGCCGCGCCCAGGACGCCGCCGGGGCTGCAGCTGGACCGCCCGGCAGGTAACCGGCCCCGTCCCCCGCCTGGGTCCCGCGGAACCGGCCTCGGGGCGTCGGCGCGGCCGGGGCCTGGGGGCTCGAATCCGCATTCCCGCGCTGGGATCCGGGTTTTGGCCAGAGGAGGGGTCGCGCAAACTTGGCGTCGCGAGCCCGAGCTGCAGCCGGGAAGCGGGATCCGGGCGCGGGGCGGGACTCGGGTGGCGGCGGGGACCGGGCGGGGACCTTGGGGACCGGGCGGGGACTTGGGGGCACGCGCCGCGCTCACTCCGCTGCCCCCGACCCAGGCGCCGCCGCGATGCCTGGCCCTTGGCTGCTGCTCGCCCTGGCTGTGACCCTCGCCCCGGCCGGCACCGACGGAGCCCAGCGGGAGGCCGCTCCCCTGCGCCGGGCGGGGCCTCTCCTCTTCCTCCGGGAAGGCCTCCGGGCGCCGCAGGGGGACCGGAGCGCGCGCTCGGGTGAGTGGGGGAGGCTGCCCGGGCCACATGTGGGGGGCGGGCGAGGCCTGCAGGAGCAGGGGAGGGTGGAGGAGGGCTGGGGGCACCCCGAGGCGGAGGGGACAGAGGGCGCAGCCTGGTGGCCCAGCCTCCTGCCTTTCGGAAGCCCCGAAACCCTCCTCAGCGCCCGCCTCCGCGGGGGACCACCCCTTGAGCCCACGTTCCCTTTCTGCCCC